CGGAAGTGTGTTCGGCCTGTGCACCTACGTGTATAGTGGGGGCATCTCATAGTTTTCTCCTTTAACATTTTTAAAATCCTCATCATCATCCTGTTTTTCATGTTGTTGTTGTAGTTTCCCACTGTTATAATTATAACCAAAAACAGAAAAATACAGGTGTTAAATATAACCTAATTAAATATATTGGTTTATTGTATAATCCCTGTATTCACACACACACACACACACACACACACACACACAGTTAAATTCCACCTCCTCTTTATAGATTCAAAATATACCTCTTCAGGCTTAAGACTGAATAAGTAGAGAGTCAGTGTTGACATTTTGACCCCTGTCTCAGTATTCCAGCGCCTGCTGTGTGTGTGTGTGTTGTGGTGTGTTGTGTTGTGGTGTGTGGTGTGTGTGTGGTCTGCTAAGAGAAAAAGCAACATCACTTATGCACACCCCCCATCAAAACCATCGCAGATTACAGCTCCTTGTCCTTGCTGCCTGATGCCTGAAGTGGAAGGTTATTTCGAAAACTGTTCTGACACAGCCAAACAAATGCCATTCACTCTCCTGCGCCCTTCTCTCTTCTCTTCCTCTCTCCTCCAAAACACCACACCACAACCACACTTATTGACACCCGTACTAAATATAGCTACTTGAATCCGTGTACCATGACATTCTGTAGGGGCACGGACAGGTAAAGATGTGTGTGTGTGTGTGTGTGTGTGTTGTGTGTGTGTGTGTGTGTGTGTTCAGTGCAGAGTGAGGATATCTGCCCATGCAGGTGATGAATGAGGGCTGCAAGATGTGGTGCTTTCTTTTTTTTTAATTCATCCATCACTCCCCTCTTCACTCATTTTCTGTTAGAGGAAGGAACACAGTGGATGGAAGGATGCACGATGGGAAAAACAACCAAGGGAAGGGGGGGGAAAGGAGATGAAGAAAGGAAGGAGAGGAAGGATAAAAGTACTTAAAAAGAGAAAAAGAAGAAAAGATTGATGGATTGCTCATTAGACGACAAGTGATGTAGGAAGAGGAGCAACTGGATGGATTGTGTTTCGAGGCACACAGGAACGGAGGGACTGATACTGTTCCTTAATGGCGTTTGGACCTCGAGTCTCCCATTTCTTCTGCCATCCTTCTCCCATCTATCCTTATTCTCTGTCTGGAAGCGGAAAGGTAATGATTCTTGTCTTCTGAGGACACCAGCTCTTTCATTTTTCATCCATCCATCCATTTCTCACTTCCCCATGTTCGGCTTTATAGGCTGTGTCAGAAAGGTTGAGCATCACTCCGAGCGTAAGAGCCTCATTTTCCTCGAACCGTCCCTTTTTGTCATTTAGCTGTTGACTGAAGAACCTGCTGCAATCACGAGCTTCATCCCTGACACACAACTCTATACTTAATGACACGATGAAGACAGAAAATATAAATGAAAAGTAAGTAGCTGCAAAGAGGAGGGATTGAATTGAATGTTTTCTCATGCACCCACACTGGTTACAGCAACAGGAAACAAAGCAAGTGGGAGTATTTCTCTTCAAATAAGAGTGGAGGACACGCAACAGAAGGTTTTCTAGAAAGAACTTTTTCAAATGCAAGGATTCTCCCACTGCGACAGGCCTACCACCTACAGCAAATATCATACGGCCTGTCCTCCCCTACTGCTCTGTCTATACAGAGAGGCATCCTAGACTCTCTCCTCCTCCGCCAGCACTCGTGTTTTACAGAAGCATCATAGAGGCTGCCCTCTGCTGAGCCATCTGCTGCTCCACCGCGCTCGCAGTCGCAAACACAGACAAAATCCTCAGCAGCACACACATCATCACCTCCAAGATCATTGGACTTTTGCTCTCACAACCTCAAGGACCCTCCGCTGAATCCCGTCTCAGTTTTTATAGTCCTCCCATCTGGACACTGACACAAATCCCGGATCTCGTTACAAGCTGATTTTAGCAGATTTCTTGGTGCCCTGTGCCACCGTGACCCTGGACAAGCTGTCTCACAAACATCAGAGATCTCTTTAATTACAGTCCCAATCTTTGAACAGTGTCATCTGTGTGGAAAAACTGGTATTCTTAATATTTTGTGCAATAACTGAATGTTCTGGAAGGATCAGTGAGGCGTCAGCAAATCCAGGGCCTCAATTAACAATTATTTTTATTATCGATGAGTCAGCTCATTGTATTTTTGATCATCGTTTAGTCTACGAAATGTCGAAAAATTGTGAAAAATGCCCATCACGATGATCCAGAGCCCAAGGTTACACCTTCAGATTGCTTGTTTTGTCCAACCAACAGTTGAAAAC